TTTCCGGCCTCTGGATGTCGTCTTGGTTCCGAAAATATCCATATTTTTGGCTATTTGACAGTTTTTCACAAAACCGGAAGCCGCCATCTTGAATTCCAAAATGGCATGAATGATCGATTTCCGGCCTCTACGCGTCGTTCCCGTTCCGAAAATATCCATATTGTTGGCTATTTGACAGTTTTTCACAAAACCGGAAGCCGCCATCTTGGATTCCAAAATGGCATGAATCATCGATTTCCGGCCTCTACGCGTCGTTCCCGTTCCAAAAATATCCATATTGTTGGCTATTTGACAGTTTTTCACAAAACCGGAAGCCGCCATCTTGGATTCCAAAATGGCATGAATCATCGATTTCCGGCCTCTACGCGTCGTTCCCGTTCCAAAAATATCCATATTGTTGGCTATTTGACAGTTTTTCACAACACCGGAAGCCGCCATCTTGGATTCCAAAATGGCATGAATCATCGATTTCCGGCCTCTACGCGTCGTTCCCGTTCCAAAAATATCCATATGGTTGGCTATTTGACAGTTTTTCACAAAACCGGAAGCCGCCATCTTAGATTCCAAAATGGCATGAATCATCGATTTCCGGTCTCTACACGTCGTTCCCGTTCCGAAAATATGTATGTACTCATGTTGTCCGGTGAATCCACTCGATGTACACTTCCAAGTTTGTTTTTTTGGCTAAGTCCATTCCTCAGAAAACACTTAGAATGTTTTGGCTCTTTAACCGCGTTAGTTCAAAAAACCGTGTAAAAAAAAACCGCGTTATTTCAAAAAACCGCGTAAAAAAAAACCGCGTTATTTCGAAAATCGTCGTAAAAAAAACCGTGTAAAAAAAAACCGCGTAAAAAAAAACCGTGTAAAAAAAGACTTCAGTGTATATAGTTTTTATATAGTATGTGTAACATATTTTATTCGACAATTGAAGAGAGACCAGAGTATGTAACATATTTTAGAAACATATTAAAAAAATCGTGTTTTTCGCCTGTTTGAAAAAGCACTCAAACCATCACTTACGAAATGTATTTACGATATAGCCATCACAAATTCAATGTTGTATTATTATTGCTTATGATGTTTTCTGATTATTTACTCATTCAAAGATTCATATTTTGAGAACTTAATTGTTTGAGTTGCACCCATTTTTTTTCTACATTCATCGAGCGTTATCAAAGAAACCCCGATAATTTTGTAAAATTGAAGCTGTTTCGAATCTTGTTGAGAGGAGCGTGGATTTTCCATTCGCGACCGGTAACTTTGATGAATCTACAGCTGTGCTTAATAACGCTTTGAAAACGTGTACCAATCAACTAGTTTGCCAAAAGTTTGTTTCTTTGAAAAACTCGAACAGCTGGTACAATTTGAATCTTTTGCGTCTTAATCAGAAAAGGGACAAATGGTACAAAAAGTTTTGTAGATCAAATATTTAATGACAATCATTGGACTAGGTACACAATCGCGCGTAATAAGTATTCACAATCGATAAAGAAAACTCGTTGTGAATATGTTCAAAGGAAGATTGAACAGCATTAAAACAACAGCAAAGAGTTATGGAAAATTTTGAAATCTTTATTAAAACCTAGTAATTGCAAACCGCGGTCCATAACTTTTAATGGCACATTAGAACTGTCAGAACAAGTAATTGCAGCTAAGTTTAATAATTATTTCGTAGACAGTGTTTCATTGATTAATCAATCCATTGAATTGGTCGATGAACATGACGAAATAAAACAGCCAGTTAATAGTAGTTGTAGATTTGAAGTTTTTCACCCAATTACATTAGATGAACTTAGAGTTATTTGTTTTTCATTAGGAAAATTGGCTGGAGTAGATAATGTTAATGCTAGAGTTGTTCAAGATTGCTTTTAGTCATTGGCCACATCATGCTGGTCCTTATTAATGAATCATTGCAAACTGGACATGTGCCACAAATTTGGAAGGAATCCTTAGTGGTTCCTATTCAAAAAGTTGCTGGAACGATTAAAGCCGAAGAATTTCGTCCCATCAACATGTTACACAAATTAGAGAAAATTTTAGAACTTGTTGTTAAAGGCAAGCTGTTGGAGTATTTAAATAGTAATAGTTTGTTGATACCAGTACAATCGGGATATCGGGAAGGTCATTCTTGTGAAACCGCGTTGAATTTAATATTAGCGAAGTGGAAAAATAACTTGGAGTGTAAAGATACGATTGTTGCTGTTTTTTTTTGGATCTGAACCGCGCTTTTGAAACAATTTCTAGGCCCTTACTGTTAAGTACAATCAAGCGCTTTGGAATTACGACTGCTGAATATAAATGGTTTGAAAGCTATGTATCTGACAGAACTCAACGGACTGTTTTTAATGATTCTGTTTCCAGTCCCGTGGGGAATAACCTTGGAGTGCCCCAGGGAAGTGTATTAGGGCCCCTTTTATTTATTTTGTATATTAATGACTTGCAACGTGTTTAACGGTTTTGCGACATTAATCTTTTTGCAGATGATACTGTGTTATTCATTGCAGCTAAGGATTTAGAAGTTGCCGTCTCACACTTGAATGAAGATTTGCAGTATCTAAGTAGATGGTTAAGTGTAAGCAGTTAAAATTGAATACAAGTAAAATCTAAATTTATAGTAATTTCACGGAATCAATTAAATGAGGACGTCTCTGTTGTAATTGATGATGAGACTATTGATCGCGTTCAGTAGATTAAATATCTTGGCGAGATTATTGATGACAAACTTAAGTTCAACTCTCACATTGACAATGTCATTAAGAAAATTGCCAAGAAGTTTGGAATTCTATGTCGATTGAAAAACGATTTAACTATTGCCAGTAAAATACAGCTAACAAATCAATCATCTCTCCTCCTCTAGACTTTTGCTCATCCATTTTATTTCTGTCCAAAGAAACACAAATATCGAGTTACAGCGCTTGCAGAATAAAATAATGCGTTTGATTTTGAGATGTAATAGATTCACTTCCTCAACTTTGATGCTAGACGCCATACAATGGTTGTCGGTGAGGCAAAGAATTGTATATTTGACTATGGTGTTCATTTTTAAAGTAGTTAACGGTTTGCTGCCTCGATATTTGTGTGATCAAATTGAAAGAGTAAGTGACTTTCATAGATATAATACTAGAAACGCGGATGAAATAAGAACACCACATTTCTTGACTTGTGCTTCACAGAATTCATCATTTTTTAACAGAATAAATGTTTTCAAATCGATGCCTGGATACATTAAACGTGCAACAACATTAGCAGAATTTAAGAGACATTGCATTTCACAAGCTAAAACTGTCTTTTGGGTTAACCATGGATTTTTTTTTGATACATTGACAATTTATGTATCTTGACGAAGTTATGCTTAACGGAGTATTTTGTATGGATAGCTGTTATAACGACTTTTTAATAATTATTGTAGCACTGCAAAAACTATTTCTGTTCGCCACGATGGTGATGATGGAATTTTAATATTTGATTTAATAGTAGATTAATTTAAAAAAAAAAGTAGTCTACAAAGGTTTGAGCCTCACGCGCGTATTACGGATATAGAGGACTGAATTTAACATTTGAAAAAAATGTAATTTTAAAGCTTATTTGGAAGATACCTTGCGTTAGAAGTAAGTTTTCTTGCAAATTTTGGGGGTTTGTGAGCATTCCAGACATTGCTGAAAATTATGAGAGCATCAGATTACGGGGCTTCTAGTGTGATACGATGCTTTGTTGATTGTTCATTAACTCTTGATCGCTTCTAATACTTATGAATATTTTAGGTGGACTAAAAGGCGAACTAAGACGTGGATGCCTTAGCTTTTTCACATTTATATCGCTGTGAAGCAACTGTAAACTCTAGAGGAAATTTATATCTGTAACTGAAACCAGTTCGATTTTGTTTGTCAACCTGGTTAAAATGTCATATTTAATTATCTTAAAGATAAATCTTCCAGCTCAAAACCTTTGTAGGGGTGAAAGGTGGGACCATCATCATCATCATCATCATCAAATCAAAATACTGAAGTTCGGTCACAAAACTAAAAAAAATGTGCAAATGCTTGAATTTACATCAAACATATTAGTAAAGAATTAACTCTTGGATCCTCAGTACTTGTTTTAAAAATATAAAATTTGAAAACTTTCGGTGTTGTAAAATTATTTAGAATATACTTTAAATAAACTATCAATGTTACCCCGTTTTACGGTACCTAGAAATAGTATTGATAACCTGAAATACTCATCCCATCGAATTCCACTTACCTTTAAATCATATACAAACTGCAACCACAAGTCGAAAATTCCTTCGGATACGTTCACCTCAATCAAAAAGTGTACGAATTATCATTTTCGATATTTATTCTTTCGATACCTTATGAGCTACTGTATATGATATGTATATTTTTTTTATGAAAAACTATACCTCTCTTTCACCTGCTACTACCAAACTTTCGTATTTCGATTATCATTTGAATTGGTGACCTTGCAGAGCTTTATTTTCTGTTTCACAATTTCCTTAAACCTATCGGTTCACCTAGTGCATGCTGGATTGACTAGCTTCAAGCTATTTTTTGTTCATTCAAGAATGTGACGAATCGGTTTGAATGTTTCTGTTTTTGATTTATTTTGTTCTTGAGCCAAAATGTAACAATAATGCGTCTAATTTGGGGTCTAACGTTCTTCAATTGGCGTATTTTATGAATCATCGGTTATTTGATCGACTATAAGCTCTGCAGTTTCAATAAGTTTTCTTTTTACTTTTTCGCTAGAAGGTTAATTTGAAGAATTTGTTCATTTCAGGTGATGATTTGTGTTTGGTTCCGCATTCAAACATCTAACTACAAGGGGTTGATTCTGGTTTAGGTGGAGGGAAATCACATTGAAGTGACCGACGTAAAAAAAAAATGTAACAAATTTCCGATAACAATTGCTTCGTGTTGTTGGAATTCAACCTGAATTTAAAAAATTTAGGCTATATTTTTTTTCTAAAGGGTTCGTGATTTTTAACTTGTGTCAAAACAAGAATGTTTCCTTGCGTCGAATTTTTACACGCAGTAGGCCATGGACGTTCGTAGTTATTTACACATTTCATGGCTAGCTAAGTTCATGGTTTCATTATATGCATAATTAGGCTACTTGTTTGATGACGTTTTGATGCAATTGCTACTACGGGAAGTGAGAGTAAAAAATATTACCTACAGATGGCACTGTCGTCAGCCGTGCATATGCTGTGGGCCGGAGCGAGAAAGAGTTTTCCATTGGAACAGGCACACAGTTGATAGATTTTACTGTGGGACGAAGACGAAGAAGAAGAGGATGTTGAACTACTGCTGCCATGGTCTCGGGACGATCCAGACGAGGAAGATGATGGAGCCTGAACGGTTCGAAGATTGGGCATGATAATCGAGCTGGCATCCAGGCGGATCTGTTAGAACGTGACGTAAATCGTAAAAGTTTAGGACGCTAGAGTATATCGTAAGGTTCAAAGAACTTACGCTTCCTGCCACAGAATGCAGCTTGAGATCGTTGAGGCAGTTGGCTTCAATGCTTCCGGCACGTGATTGCATGAATATTTCCTGAGTTGCGCGTACCTCCAGGGATCGTGTTGGTGATTCCAATCTAGAGTATACAAATAAATCAATTCATATTCCTAGCAAGAAGTTGTCTAAGAATCAGTCAACAAACTCACTTCAGATCCTTCCCGGCCTCTGCCCGTACTAAAGGCGTCTGGATCGAATCCTTGAAGATGACTCCACCTTCTCCTTCGACTCGGAGCGAACTGGCTCCAATGGAGACTTCATCACGATCGACAGCAAAAAGGGATGTGCCATGAGCGTCCGACACTCGAAAGTGATTCGCCAGCACTTCTAACCGATCGTGTCCCAAAAATAGTTGATTTTCCAAGTATCCCTCGAAATCACGAGTGTTTACACTAAAGTTTCGCGAAGATTCTGAAAGTTAATTAATTTAGATTGCATTAACACCGAAAAAGCTAATTGACCACGCCTTACCTATAGAAATCGGTTGCCCGTGCTTGGAACGTATCGAGGAAGCTCGTAAAATGTCCAGAACCATTGCCTGCCCCGTCAGTTGAATGCCTCCGGAAACTATCTTCAGCTGACCCATTCCATCCTGAAAAGAAAGTAAATTAATCCACAGTTCATCAATTCAATCCGGGAAATGAAGAAGTTTGCTTTATTTCCGTTCCCCAATGTTTCCCAAAGGAATCAAAGATCATTATCACTACTAATGCGAGTTGGAAAACCCTGGATAAATGGACGGGAAAAAAACCAAGAAATAAAAGGCAACATTTTTCCCTTCCCTTCAACATAAATAAACAAACACGTGTCTCTCAATCAGTGTTCACCAGCCACCACCACACCGCAGCAAAGTCTGTGTTTGTGTGACGTACGAGGGCAAGGGTGGATGGTAATACGTCAGACGGCATTTCCCACAGTACAATCAAAGAGGAAAGCCGGCTTTCACACATCTCGGCATCAGCGGGTGGTAGAAAAGTTTCAATTTCACCCGTCATATCTTTTTCCCTGTCGGCGTCCACCCCGGTAGAATGAAATGAAGTGTAAAAGTTGTGAAAAGGGGCGTTCGGGTGAGGGAGGGTGGGTGGAAACCGAGGGACGAGTCAATCAGTAGTATATTAAATACAAAAACAAACTTGGAGACTCATAACTGAAATTCAATCAACTAAAATCATGATGCATGATATCTGAAGCATTTTCGCAATCCGAAAATAGTTGTTATCTTGATTTCCAAATTGAGGACCTAAATCATAATATTTATTTATTTACTTATTTGATAAATTTATCTGACAGCAAGTCTTAATGCTCAAAGGAGCAGATGAGTTTGCTGGTCGAAAGATCATATATGATTACTAGACTGATGCAAAATTTGAAATTTTCGCTCCACAATGCTCAAACGGTTTCAAATCGGGTCCTGATTAGCCTCCCAAAATTTAAACTCATTTGGACTTGGCACAAATCATTCGAAGTTTATAAGGAAATTACTATGGGAAAACCAAACTTTTTGTTCATTGTCTTCTACTCATTTTCCATATTGCTTTTTCGAAAAGTTCTATAACTATTCTTACGGGAATTTTCCTAAGCTACAAACTTTGCGGAATATCGTTTTTCGGCCAAATGTCAAATTAAATAGTTATTAATTGTTTAAAAGATTGATAATCTTATGGCATGATCAAGCAACTGTTCTGTTAGCAACACTGTATTCTGCAGTGTGATATAGTAGCCATGATATTTGTGCTCTATTCTTCTCACCAGATACACCAATGTTGCCTGCTGAACAGTTGAATGAGCATAATCATAAGACATCAGTGACTTGAATCATTAATAACTTTTGTTTCGTGCATTTGATTGAAAAGTGGTTTTGAACAAAGTTGTAGCTGAAAAAATTTGCTACAATCATTGCTATCATTTTTGAAAGCACAGTCATGTGGTGAATTTTTAGATAGACATAAACAAAAACATAAGTTTTCCCATAGTAATTCCCATATAAACTTGAAATGGTTTGTGCCAATTCAGATTCTTACTAAACTAGTTCGAATTTTTGGAGGCTAAGCAGGACCCAATTTGGAATCGTTTGAGCACTGTGGAGCGAAAATTTCAAATTTTGCATCAATCTAATCATTACCTTTGTATGGGTCCCCTTACATTGCTCAACCCTAGGCAATGAGAAGGCAGACCCTCTCGCAAAGGTGGGCGCACAACAAGGCGAGATTTATGATAGAAGAATTTCACATGATGAATGTTTCCCATTAGTACGTCAGAGTTATCTTTAAGTTGGCAAAACGATTGGACATTGGACGGTGGTTACATTCCATTATTCCAAATGTTTCTTTGAGAGCGTGGTTCAAAGGTCTGGTCGGGGCTTCATTCGCGTGATGTCAAGACTTATGTCCAACCACTACTCGCTAGAGGCACATCTTTACATAATGAACCTCGTTGACAGCAATATATGTAGGTGTAGAACCGGTTATGAGGACATCGATCACGCAGTTTGGTATTGGCCGAGTAATGACGTCTCCAGAGCACGACTGTTGAATACCCTAGTGGCCCGAGGTAGACAACCCTTCCGTGAAGTAAGAGATGTATTGGGAACCCGTGATCTTTCCTACATGCAGGCATTCCACGAATTCCTTTGTTTGTTTTATATTAGAGTCTGAGGTGACCGTCCCCTCCATTCCAAACAATTTCCAGCCATTGTGTCCCATTCTTATTATCCTCCTGTTTCTGTGCTACTTGCCTCTGCCCAGCCAGGATTTGGACAACCGTCCGAGAGTAGTATCAGAAGGAGGCTACAGAAACCAGTTTCCTACCTAGCTCCTTCCAATCGAATTTGTTACCCTTTAACCCCGAGCCCGTCACGAGTAATTGGTACCCAATACTAACCTAGAACTACTGCTGTTTAAAATGTTAATTCAAACACTACTGATTGTTGGCACGGCAGAGTGTTACACACGACTGAACCTAGTAATTAAACGAACTGGTTAAAAAAGTCTTAAGGCTCAAATGTCAATAAAAAAAAAAAAACAAAAAAACATCATACATATTTTGGCAAAAATTTGGTGGTTGGTAGAATTGAAATCATGCAGCTTAAGGATATTACTGTATTTAAATCCAACTTTCTGAGCATGATTATAGAATCTATCCTTCAATCAATATGAATATGAATAAAAGGAGTTGACTCTACTTTCACTTGCTTTTCTTACAGAGCAAGCAAAGTAAATTCTTTTATTCATATAACCAAATCACACCATTAATGCATCTTAATACAACTTTTCCGTTTCCGCTTTATTGGAACTCTCTGAAATTAATGTTGGGATCATACGGAATATCATTCTGAAACCTACCTATCGGGCCCCATCAACTCATAGACCGGAGACCACTTTATGCCTCAGAAAATCCCGGCGGCGTCGACTGGGATTGAGCCCAGGCCTATTGGGGTGATAGGCAATCACGTTTATCACTACACCACCGGCACCGCTGTTCTGGGACTGATTGGTTGGTTGTGGATAGTGATATTTGGCAATCCCTCCTGGAACCGTAGTCAATCGTAAGACACTACAGCATTTTTTTTTTTAGAATACTGGAATGGTAGTCCATTTAATATATCAATAAAAAATGTAAAATGTACCTTAAAAGACAAAAACGAGCCCATAGCATATTGTGATATGTACCAATACAAAATAGTTTTTTTGCCCCTAAAAATTAGAAATTGCACCGGTAAATCAAACAAAAATCCCCTAAAATATTACAATTGTACCATAAATAAAGGTAGTTGTGCACATAGATTGTAGCGAGTACCAGATTTTGAATTTAATTTTAGACATTATATTCATTTGTCACCAGTTTTCAAATAATCAAATTAACACCGCCCCCAACACTAGTAATGGAATTCAATTACCAGGCAATGAGTTCGAGAGTGAATAAGTAGTCTACAAACAACAGTTAAATGAGTTCTAGTGCACTCTGAGAGGTGGAACGGGTTTGGGATGAGTTTTAAGGGCCTTGGTTATCTTCCAGAATGGTCTGGAGCGGTCGTCCAAATTCTGGACAACACGCCCGAAACTTTCATTCCGGAGTGAGTCCATTCTGGAAGCAATCCGCCTGTTCAGATCGGTCATTTCACATTTTTGCCCAGATCTCCAGTCCTCTGAAACTGGCGTCTACGAACATCTCTCAACCGAATCAGTAATTGGGTGTGGGAATCAATAGCAACAAACAACCCCATTTCGGAGCACGCACACAAAAAAAAAAAAAAAAAAACGAAAGAGATAACGCAATCACTATCGCCACGCAGTACATTCGGAGGTGGCGTGGTTCTAAGCGCAATTGCCACAGCGTGGCTTAATGTTGCAATTTCGGGTGCCGTGTCCAAAGTTCAGAAACCGTTGGTACTGAGTCGCATCGCGATGGCCGCCACGATATGGCTCCCAGCGGACGATGATGGAGTTCATGGAGCGGATGGCTTTCAGCGCGTTGAGCGTCACCGTTTCTTTGTGGAAGTGTACCAGGAAAATGCAATCCGGATACGCCTTCACATTTTCGTCGTCATGTTCGATAAACTTCGGGTAGAAGATTGGTAGGCCCCTGATGGCGACCATGAACGGTTTCTCACCGGGAATGTCGTGGGTGAAGTATTCCACCTTGGAAGTCAAATCCTCAGGTGGGCGATGACCAACCCAAGTAACAATTCAGGTTTTATGAAGGTTCTGTAGACCCTTATTTAGACTTGTAGAGTGCTTTAAAACTTCAATAAAACTTGCGATGTTTCTTGGGCAAGTCATACCGACTCTGCCCAACTTGAATTCGGCTTTGGCACCCAGCGACGCCAGATCCACGAGCTCATCGTAACGGAAGCCTCGCAACCTGCGAGATTTCGACCACTGAATAAGCTTCCTGTCTCAAAACGATTAGCTTAAGCGCCACCTCGTCACGGTTTGATTTGCCCGGCAAGAAACCCAGCCTCAGGGCGGGTTCATGTGTAGAAGAGACCGAAAATTAGTTTGAGGGCGATTCAGCAGACTGTTATCCCATGAGGGATTGAGATCCTCACAGAGAGAGGCTGCTTCAAACAGTCTTAAGAGAAAGTTGGTGCTAGCCACCGTTCTACCCAAACACAACAACACCCACGCACATTTATTATCACTGGAGGAACTTCCCCTTTCAGATTTCTTCCACCGATCGTGACACGTGAGTGCGGAGACTGTTTTCCCAGGTAGTCCAACCTGGAGGAAATTATGCTAACAACAAATAACGCAAAAATAGAACGACGTCAAATGTGAAAAACCTAGTCAACCAAAATTAACGTTACCTGGAAAGCTTAAACTTTACGTAAACAACATTTATTTTAGCGGCAAACAACGGAAATCATTATATAATTTATTAGAGTTCCTAACCTAGGTTTGTTCAAAACTTGTTCCTTTCCATATGTTTGTTTGTTTGTTTGGTAGCTCTCCTTAATCGTGTGTGCGGTTTTTTGATCTGGTTCTAGCGATGGCTAGCCTATCCTTTTACTTGTCTTCGAGCTCATGTGTTTGTGTGTGTGAAGATTTTCATGCATTTTGTTTCACACTCGATGTCGTCGCTGCTTTATCCGTA